AGTAGTAGTAGTAGTAGTAGTAGTAGTAGTAGTAGTAGTAGTAGTAGTAGTAGTAGTAGTAAGTAGTAAGTAGTACGTAGTAAGTAGTAGTAGTAGTAGTAGTAGTAGTAGTAGTAGTAGTAGTAGTAGTAGTAGTAGTAGTAGTAGTAGTAGTAGTAGTAGTAGTAGTAGTATGCATCGGCAATGCACTGGCGATGCATCGTCAACGTGTGCGATGCATCGGCGACGTCGACGTGAAGCAAGACGAGCTCCCCATCGAACCGCATCGGCGATGCATCGACGATGCGGCGCGATCCTCCGTCCCCATCTGCTCCGACCCAACCGAGGAGGTCTAGATGATCAGCGGCCGCAAGAGTCAGACGGCGGTCGAGCAGCGGCGGGGCGCGCCGGAGCACAGTGGGGCACGACCGGAGGAGGGCGCGAAACACGGGCAGGACGCTTGCATGCGAGCTCAGGCAGCACTGGCAGCACAGATGTGGGTGCACGTGAAGGCGCCGACCGCTCGGAGAGAGGCGCCGCCACGCCCCCCCCCCCCACACACGACGTTGTCGTCGTCGTCGTCGTCGTCGTCGTCGTCGTCGTCGTCGTCGTCGTCGTCGTCGTCGTCTTCGTCTTCGTCGCCGTCGTCGTCGTCGTCGTCGGCGGATGCGGGGCGCCTTTCCGCGGATGCCCGGTGCGACCGCGCCTCCGCGCTCCGGGATCCAGGCCGCGAGGGCGCGGATATGGATACCGTAGGGGCTCGACCACACGAAGCCTTCCACAGGAAACCCAACCCTGAGACTCCAGGACGTCCACCGATTTCTGGCCTGGGGACGTCACGCTTTCCATTGCAAAACCCATCGAAGCCCAAGACACCTAGGGCACCCTGGAGGCAAGCAGGGTGCTTCTTGGCATGGGTTTCCACTGCACAGGGGCCGGGAACCTTTGCATTAGGTGGTCCCAAAGCGGTGCGGTGACAGACCGTGCGGCGACCTCGAGATCCGCAAAGGCCTCACCGCACGGTCCGTCACCGCACCGTTTTGGGACACTGGAGGCCCCAGTAGCCCGTTGCGTCCCTCAGAGAACGGCCCCAGTCACAAAACCGTGCGCTCACCCCGATTTCCCACTGACTCACCACACGGTGTGGTCACCGCGCCGTCTGGAGGCCTCCGATACATGGGGCCCATGAGTATCGTGCATCGCTCAACCGATCCCCATCCCCAGCGGCGTGGCCTGGGCCTCACTGGCCGATTCACCCCCCAGATGGGGAGATAGGCCGTTCCCTTCGGGTTTCGAGGGGTGTATCCCTAACTGGGGTGGTAATTTGGTGGGGGTCTCGAAGGGGATGGGGCTGAGGATGGCGCGGAGGATGAGGATGAGGAGGAGGAGGAGGAGGAGGAGGGAGGAGGAGGAGGAGGAGGAGGAGGAGGAGGAGAGGAGGAGGAGGGGAGGGGGAGGAGGAGGAGAGGAGGAGGAGGAGGAGGCGGAGGAGGAGGAGGAGGAGGAGGAGGAGGAGGAGGAGGAGGAGGAGGAGGAGGCCCAACTGGGATGGGGCTGGGGATGGGGATCGGTTCCACGATATACCGAGCCCACGCCGCGAGCCGATAAGCGGTGACACGCTGGAGGCGGGGGCAGGCACGGCTGCGGCGGCCAGGCGGGGAACACCGCACCGGAGCGGAGGGTGCGCCGGACCGGGCCGTGGCGGCTATAGGAGTCGAGGTCGAGCGGGTCGGCGGCACCAGGATTCGGGCCGGGCGAAAGGGGGGGATGGCAAAAGGGGGGGGTTGAGAAGCAGCTCGCGCAGCTGATCTTCCCGGCGCCTCCCGGCGCCGGAGGCGCCCATGTGTCGAGGGATGGGCCCGGCGGCGGGGCCGAAGCCAGCTGCTTGCAGCAGATTTCGTAACCCCCCCTTTCCCTATGCCCCCCTTTCGTTCGGCCCGAGAGGTCGAGCCGAGTCGGCTGCACCAAGATGCACAGAGCATCCATCCAAATTGAGCAGGGACAGGCCGTACCGGCATTCCTAGAGGCCTACCGCGACATGTTCCTAGGTCCCAAACGTGTTCTAAGAACAAGAGCAGTGTTCTCAGAACATCAACCCGATCTGTTGAAACAAGACAGTCGCAGCCAGAAATGTTCTAAGAACATTTCGTGCAGACCACAAAAGTTTCTTAGAACATTATTGGGTTGGCCTATAGGCGAGTTCGGACGCTTCGCCACTGCTTGACCAAGGGCACCCCGTCCCCTGGATGCACACGAACTTTTTGCGTCGGCGGCGAGGCAAGGGTCGTCTGCGCTGTAGCGGAAAGGCCTGAACGGGGTTGCCTTTAGAGTGAATTGTGCCACGGGATGCGCAAAAACACGCAACAGGCACGAAGAGCATTGGGGTACCCACCCCGAACCGACCTCGATCTCATATCTCGGTCCGACCGTAGGCATCACTGGCACCAGGCCAGCTCCGCTGAAGCAGAAAGAGCAGGAGAAGGAGGAAAGGCATGAGGGGCATGGGAGCAGGGACGCCCAGCTATATGCATCGGCAGCACCAGAGTGACCATTGGTGCGCGGCTTGGGGGGGGCGCGAGGGGACCAAATCCAAGCACCCACGCCGCTGCTACCGCATCGCACTCAGCCATCCGGGGGCCCCAACGGGCCCGCACCGAAGTTAGCATGGGGGGGGACGGGTCCTGAGGGAAACGGGTCCTGGACCCTGGGGTCTTCCCCCAGGAATAGCTCTTCATCCTGAGTCGTTTTCTGACGGTCCCAGGGCCCCTGGAAGGTCCCGTGAGGCCACCAGCGGGGGAAAACCTCAGGATCCGTCTCCCTCAGGACCCGTTTCCCCCACGGCGACAGTGAAGTCACTCCGGCGATGGGCCGCTCTGGCGGATAGCCGCGCCTTGCGGTCGTAGATCCTCCTGTTCCCGTATCTCCCGGCGTAGACCGCCGCGAAGAGCAGCACCGCCTCCGGCCCACGGGGGGGCCATGCCCGAGCGAGCGCGCCATGCCCAGGCTGCGGGGAGTGGGGAAGGGGGGGTACGGCAGGTTCGTGCGGCGTCGGCACGCGCAAAGGTTTATGGCCTCCTCCTCCTATTTCCCCTGTCGCTGATGCTGCTCCACCTCCTCTTGCTCCTCTTTTGCTCCTCATCCTCCCCTCCTCCCTCTTCTTTCCCTTCCTCCCCCTCCTCCTCCTCCTCTTCCTCCTCCTCTTCCTCCTCCTCCTCCTCCTCCTCGTGTTCCTCCTCCTCCTCCTCCTCCTCCTCCTCCTCCTCCTCCTCCTCCTCCTCGGGGGGGGGTACGGCAAGTTCGTGCGGCGCCGGCACGCGCAAAGGTTTAGGACACCGCGTCGATGGTTCAGCCCTGAATCGATCGCGGCCCCGATCGTTCACGGTGTAATTCCGTCGGGCCCACTGGCGTCGCCGTGTCCCTCGGTGCCTCCGCGTCGCAGAATTCAGCATCGACGCCCTCGCCCGCGTCGCCAGCGCGCCAGCGCAGCATGAACCTACCGTAAGAAATCGGGGGGAGGGGAGGAAGCAGGGTCAGAATGGGTCAGACAGCATCGAAACGCGAAATGGGATCGGATCGGGACGAGTATCGGATCGGGCTGCATCGGCATGGACGTGAAACCAATTCGGATCGGCTGCGCCGAGATGCACAACTGCGTCTCGCAAGCATCGGGGCGCATCGGACCGCTGGCCGCATCGGATCGCTGGAAAATCGAAATCGAATCGGCTCGAAAGAGCCAGAATCGACATCGAATCTGATCGATCGGATCGGCATGGTCCCCAGGAAAGTGGGCGGAGGGCCGGTTTTCCCATCCCTCCGTTGGTTGGGCACGGCACGGCAGCCATGAAAACGTCAAGAACTTCTCGGCGCCACCCCGCTGCTAACGGCTCATATGCCAAGCCTGTACTTCCACGCGACCAACGCTGTCGCCCGACAGACGACAGCAGTGAAGCCAAAGTGTCGGATCCTTTCTCCAGCAAGAGAACCCTCGCACTCTCTTCTCAGTACACAGCTCCCAACGCTGCACAAACAAGGCACGGAACGGTATGGGAAAGGAAGAGGGGTAGGGTGGATATGGTATGAGTGATGAGGAATGAGTAGAAGTTGGGTCTTGAGCCAACATGGTTACGACCCATGCTCGTGACCTTCAAGCTCAGGGAGTCTAGCAGGGGCATCGGCCTTGAAAACCACAGGCCTCTAGACTCAAATCACACAGTACCCCGACAAACAGTGAGCTTGATAGGTCGCGAAGGCACCGTGGCCATCCTCCGAGCCAATGGATCGCACCATCTTGAAGAGAGGAATGGGCACTCTAGTGCCATTTGTGTAAATACTGCTGCTGCCGTCGTGCCGTAGCGAGTCCTGACGACTTCGCTCCGGCCTGGCTGGTCACTTGTATCTCGCTCGGCCCTGACGACCCTCGAGAGACGTGCACCGGCCATGTCCCGCCAGACTGTGACGACTGTCACTCGGCATGGGACGGCTGAACAGCACTGGCCTTGCCATCGTTCTCCTGCTGCTGGAGTTGCCTGTGGGATTCGGCCCTGGAGCGGTCTTTCTCACGGGGGTCCTCGCGCCGGCCCTCGAGGGCCCCGCTTTCCGCCGAGAGACGCAAACACCCAGAGCGGAGCAGCTCATATTGAGCCGCGTTGGTTTTGGCAAGGTCCGATTTCGTCATGCAATCGACCAGAAGTAACGGGCGCGGCGTCCAACGAATCACGCTCCCGACCTTTTGCATGATATCCCGAACGACCGCGAGGTCGATCGCGGCCCGACGATCGGATCGAGAACCATTTGATAACTTGCTGAGGGTATCATATATCCCCTGGCGTCGACTATGCTGACACACTCCGAGGGCGAGTGAGCGATCAGCTAGCAGTCTTCCTTCAAAATGGCCGCAAAGGGGCCGACTTTCCCCTGCCATGCTTCTGACACCACGTTCCCTCTCACAACATCTTCGAACATGAGATGAAGCCACTGAGCTTCAGCAAGAGCTCCGGAAAGCGCCAGCGTCTCTCCTGCGAGAGTGCTCGCCACCTGGCGCTTGACTCGGCATGATCTCCAAGCTAGGGGGGTGGCCCTCGCACGTTGACCGTGCGCTAAAGCATTGTCTGCTAAATAGACCTGCCATGCTTGTTGTGGGAACATGCAGTCATCCGGGCCGACTCCTCCGCAGTCGCTGGCCGTCGCGAAAATGCAGCGGGAGGGGTCGAACTTGTGAATTATCACGGGCATGCTGGCCGTGGACCTAAGGTGATCCACCATCTTATGTGCCTCGACCAGGTCTCTGACGCATGGTGAGTTCACTTCGGTCGCTACCCAGAGCTTCAATTCCGCAGTAAACTTGCGGAATAAATGTTTCCGCTTCAACAAGACAGTTCCGCAATTCTGTTTTTTTTGTTCTCAACCGCAGAATTCCGCAATTATGTTTTTTTGTTGTTCGAACAACGCAGTTCCGCAGTTCCGTTGTTTTTTTTTTCTGTTTGTTTTGAATGCTATGAATCACATTTAATGAACGCATAAGCATTGTAAGTATATGTTATGTAACAGCATGATGCTATGTTATGACACGATAAGCTATGATATGGTATGTTATGTTTTGATATGCCGCAATGTCATTGGAACGCGTGTTTTTTTTACGATGTGGCACGTTATCCTGCAATGCTCGTATTTTGATGACGTGCATGTTATTGTTATGTTTTGCTAGGTTGGTGGATGGGCGGGGCGTGGGGCCACGCGCGCGATCCGCGCACGCGCACGTTCCTGCACGAACGCGCGCGTTCACTCGCGCGCAGCGCTGCGCAAATGACAATCAGGAAACCGAGGGTGAAGAGAATGAACAAGAGGAGGAGGAGGAGGGAGAGGAGGAGGAGGAGGAGGAGGACGAGGAACAGAAATAGAAGAGGACAAGGACAGGAGCAATAGGAGGACGGAGAATGGAGGAGGAGGAGGAGGAGGAGGAGGAGGAACAGCAGCAGGGGCAGGAAGAGGATGCGGAGGAGGAGGAGGAATAAGAGGAACATAAGGAAGAGGATGAGGAGGAGGAGGAGTCGCGTTTGATCAGCGCTCAAAAAACGTATTAGTTTGTGAGCGTTAGGCCACGTGCACATTCGTTGAAACGTTAATAAAGGATAAAGCCACAGTGCCGAAGGCGCGGAGGAAGGAGGAGGAGGGGGAGGAGGAGGGGGACGAGGAGGATCAGGATCCTGGAGGAGGAGGGAAAAGAGGATGATGATGATGATGAGGGGGAGGAGGAGGAGGAGGAGGGGGAGGAGGAGGAGGTAGACGAAATGAAGACGGCACGAAACTGCATGGGGCAGGGGGGCAGGTCAGAGAAATCCATTTCCAGCGGCCAGCGCCCGTCTGTTCCCACTTTCGGCGGGGAGGCGTCTCGCGCTGCGCCCGGGGCGCGCAGGGGAATCGTCCTGGGGGGCCCGACGCTCGCGTCCCATCGCCATCTTTGCGCTCCTTCCCCCCGCTCCTCCTTCTTTTCCCCGTCCTCCTTCTCCTCCGCTCCCCTCCTCCTCCGACCTCCCTCCTCCGTCCTCCCTCTACCTCTTCCTCCTTCTCCTCCTCATCCTCCTCCTCCTCCGTATCCTTCCCAGGCGACGTTCGCTCCTCCGTCTCCCTCTCTTCTACCTCTCAGTCCTTCTGGTCCCGCCCTCGACGCGCGGCGCCCCCTGCTGGGCCAGCATCTCGTGGAATGTATCGATCGCCCTCTGAACCGAAATTAGCAAGTCTGTTTCTTTTGGTGCGCTCCTTCTCTCTATCTCTCGCTGTCTTTATTTATTTCTCTTCCCGTCTCCCCTCATCATCCAGATTCCCATCCCCTAGACATATTTCTCCGACTGTCCTCGTATCCCATATGCCTTAAAACTTTGTTGGAGTACGCCTGTACAAGGAATGCTCGACGCCCAAGCTGGCGGCCAGTCGCATGCACCGTTTGCCGATCTCTCTCCTCTCCTCTCTCCTCTCCTCTCTCCTCTCTTCTCTCCTCTCCGTTCTCCCCTCCTCTCTCCTCTCTCCTCTCCTCTCCTCTCTCCTCGTATTTCTCCTCTCCTCTCTTCTCTCCTCTCCTCTCTCCTCTCCCTCTCCCCCCCCTTTCTCCTTCCCCCCCCCTCTCTAGCTTCCTCCCCAACTACCGTCCCACCTCCCCCCCTCTGCGCGCTCCTTCCCTCTGCCACCCCCTTCCTCTGCATCTTCCCCCCTCGCCTGCCCCACATCCTTCCTCGTCCTCCTCTCGCGAGCCGCTCGCCGCCGCAGCGAGCTAGGGTCAGGCGACGCCGATAAAAGTGTTCACCAAATATGCGTAGCCACCACCTCCCTGCTCCGCTACTTTTGCATCTAATTCAACATGCATCCTGCGCCCTCCTGCCATTCGTCCTGCGTCTTTCTTTCTCTCCTTCCTCTCGCCCTCCTGTCATTCACATTGCGCCCCCGCAGAGCTGCTTCCTCGCCCTGTCCCCGCCGTGTTCACGCACGTCGGGGATCCCAGGGCGATGAAGTTGTCTACGCGACTCTCGCCTGACAGGTAGCACGGCGGGAGGGGGCTGGGAGGGGGCCGGAGCGGACGCGCAGCATACGCGAATGAAATCACAATGAAATCAAATGAAATCACAATGAAACCACAATGAAATCGCAATGAAATGCAATGACTCGGGACTGACCCCAGGGAATTCTCCAACAAGCCCCCACGATCGATTGTGCGAGGTGGCGCGGGGTAAGCGGGGGTCGCCTACGAAGACTCGGGACCACTAGTCCTAGTACGCACCCACTTCATCAGCGATGTCTGGTCCTGGTCCGCTGTCTTGCTCATCATGCGTTTTCGTTTCTTTCGATCTGGAGCGGAGCCGCTCTTCGCCTGAACCCATGCCTCGTAGATCGCGCTGCAATACTTATGTGGGTAGTGCTCAGTGCTCTTCAGCTTCTGAGGGAAAGAAAACACGAGGACGCACTGAC